AGAGGCATTGAAAATGCAAATTAAACGGGTGAGCAAAGCGGCATTTTTCGTTTGAATTTGGTGACATGTACAGTCTGAAGAAAAAATCTACGGTTCTATCAGTGATCTTATCAGCTGCTATTAATCTTATTCGTAAACAATGACTAACATCAGGTGATATTAAGACTACTATGAAGTAATCGCAAAGATCTTTCCAGAGGGCATCATGAACAGAGTTCTTTCTCTTAATAGCGGGATGCATTTTACTGGCTGATTGCAGTTAATTAAGTGATCTTTAGTGACGTTGATTTATGTATAGTTAAGTGGAAATATTTAGAGGCATCACGCACTTTGCAAAGGCTGGCCGCATAAAGACGCTTATCTTTGAAAAGTTTTAAGTCGATTTTCTGACATCTATTTGTAGCATGCATGGAAAAAAGTTCACCTGCGAAAATAAACCGTCTTTTTACAAAGTTGCCATTAATTTTTTTCTCTCGTTAATTGTGCGTTCGGGGAAGGCTTGTGGGCGTATTTATATGCTAGGTGTCGAGAATTGGTATCGTACAAACTTCGGAATGATTCTTTGGAAATATTTGCTTTTCACAAAAGCACTAATTTAAGGCTATTTCACGGGAACACTGTATTATCAAAAGTAACTGTCAACTTTATTGTCGATTTTCAATGTAAGGCGAGATTGCTATCATCATTTTGTTAGCGAACGGGACTTCGAGCGCGATGCCCAACGAGTTTGCCAAGCAGAAAGGTCTCTGATGAGTCCCTTGGCCGGGACGAACGGCGAGCTGCGTAAGACTAGCCACGAACAATGTATTATCACTAAGTTTTTAAAGGTGAAAACAGTAAAACACTCATACAATTAAAATCGCTGCCAAAATCGCCACCGTTCCAACTTCTGTCCTGGCAATGAAAAGTACAGCAGCTCTATAACTTCAAGACCTTCAAACTAGTATCCCGAATGTTAAAATTCCAGTGTAGTATTGAGTACCCTGCAGTCGCGACGGTCCTCTCACGAAACTCGGGTCT